TTACAAAATACATTTAGAGTTTTTGAAATATAGTACATTGTCAGGTTTCTCTGAGATCTGTGTCTCCTCAGATTTAGACATATTGTAGTTGAAACAGAGTACTCTTGAAAATTTATTTGTATCTTTTTTTTACTGAAATATAGATCAAAATAGATTAAAACTATCAGAATATTACAAAGAAGATAATCAGATAGAGCTTTCCGTATCACAGTTAAATTGCAGCTACAGGATTTGGTGTGAATGTATCAAGGGAAATAAGGCCCTTTTGCAGAATGGAAATAGAAGTGCCATCATGAAAAGTTCTTGAGTGTGTTGCTGTAAAGGGAATGATTCCCTAAAAGGAATTATGCTAACTATTTTGTGAGTGTTGGAAAAACATTTGTCCATCTGGCACATTCATTGGAATTTATCATATGGAGAGAAACGTATGTAGCCTCATATGGTTGTTAGCAGCCTCTGTTTCTCCCTATTCTGTAGGGGGGGGGGGGGAACTGAAAGGGAAGAGAATTGAAACCACCTTAAAGAATCATAGTGGATTGGCCACCTTGTATTTCTTAATGTAGTAATAGCAATAGCATTTAGCCCTATATACCACTACATAGTGCTTTACAGCGCTCTCTTAAGTGGTTTACCGCAGGGGTCCCCAACCCCTGTTCCGTGGACCAGTACTGGTCCGCGGCATGCCAGTAACCGGTCCGCACAAACAAGCAAAGCCCCATCTACGGGATGCAGGCAGCACACAAAATCATGCTCCCTCCGGTTCGTGGAAAAAACCTCTCTCCACGGAACCGGTCCCTGGTGCCCAAAAGGTTGGGGACCTCTGGTTTACAGAGTCAGCATATTCCCCCCAATTATTTGGGTCCTTACTTTACCGACCTCAGAAGGATGGAAGGCTGAGTCAACCTTGAGCCGGTTGAGAATCGAACTGTTGGCAGTGGGCAGAGTTAGCCTGCAATACTGCATTCTGACCACTGTGTTACCATGTACCATTTCTTCTCCTGAGTACTTGGAATAGATTGCTTATTGTCTGTGCATAAGCATCTTCATGCAATTTCAAGAATGAGTTAAAAAGAAGCTTACATTTTCCTGTAAGTATTCAAGAGGAATGCTGTGCTGTATATTTTTCCTTGAGGCACTCATGTATTTAATTTCCATCTTCCAGCTCTCGAATGATTGAGATTCAGTCTCAGATGTCTGAACGGGCAGTGGAATTGCTGGGTCTCCCAGACGATCGTCCATGTTTTTTGTTGGATGTTGGGTAAATTTGTTGCATTATTCTTAAGGGATTAATCTACCAGAATACGAATGGGTTTATTTTTAAAGTTTATTTCCTAGGAAGTGATACCATGTTTGCATAGCCTGCCCACCCAATCAATGTAAGCTCTAAACTTCTTTCAGTATCTAAATTTTCAAAGTCACCTTGAAGCATGACTGGCTATATATCTTCTTTAGGAGAGCAGCAATTAACTTTAAATGCTCAGTGTTGAATCAGGGCCCATTAAGTCCATTGTTACATTCCACTGAAAGCATGTGAGGTTGAAGGTAGAATGATGGCTTCCCTGTGACCACCAATCTGAGATTTTCTCCATATTTAAAAGTTTAAACATAGAGTGTTGGGTTGCCTCCCTCCCAAGCAAATTGTGCTGTACCATTTAGCTGCAGTTCATCATCCAATAAATGCTGTCTGATGTCCCTCCAGATGGAAACAAGTATGCAAATTGAGTATTAGAATATCACTGTGGTATCAACAACCAAATCAAAGTTTCTGCCTTGCCTATACTGACATATTATGTCCTGAAATTGGCAATTTTGGGGACAAGGAATCAATGAAATAAGTTATTACCCCGATTCAACAGTGTGATCAGTAGAATTATAAGAGGGGGGGGGAGTGTTTGTAAATTTAAGTCACCTTTCAAACAGTTGTAAATTCTTAAAGTAAAGCAGTTCATTCCCTCTTCCATTAACCATATCATTTTAAAATCAGTGTGTTCTGCATTTAGGGGTAGCTTTGCTTTGATCCAAAAAACTTAGCAGATGTTTTTGAGTAGCACAGTATATCTTCATGCAGTTTAACATTTCGTGATTCTTCAGCCTGTCTTGTTTAGTGAAAAAGAGAGCAGATGTTTATTCATCCTAACTGTGCTTTTCCTATCAGTTGTGGCTCTGGCTTAAGTGGTGATTATATCTCTGAGGAAGGGCACTGTTGGGTTGGCATGGACATCAGTCCAGCAATGCTTGGTGAGTAGATCTCTTTTTTGCTCTCTCCTTAGCTAAACTTTCATGCCTGGGAAATGACAGCGCCCTGCTTTCTTTATTCTAAATAGACGTAGCCCTGGAGAGAGAAGTGGAGGGAGACCTGATGCTAGCAGATATGGGCCAGGGAATTCCATTCCGACCTGGAACATTTGATGGCTGTATCAGGTAAGAATTTGTAACAAGCAATATCAATATCCAGTGACTACAAGATAGGGAAAATATCATATTCACTGCCCTGAATTATTTTTCTTGCAGTATTTCTGCAGTTCAGTGGCTCTGTAATGCCGATAAGAAAACTCACAGCCCTCCAAAGCGACTGTATCGATTCTTCTCAACTCTGTATACTGCTCTGGTAAACTTTAGTTTTTCTGTTGTTTAATTCTCCCCCCCCCCCAAAAAAAAAAGTTTATGATTAAGGAAGGTAAGAAATCCTATCTGTGTATTTTATAGCTTGGCAACTAGCTTGTATATAAAGTATGAGTAAAGTCTGAGAGGAGGAAAGTAAGAGGGGGAGCAATATAATTTCAGGAGCATTTGCAATGACTTGAAAAACGATGAAGCAGACAGATTCTGTTTTCTCCCTTTCACTTGCTATTCTGAGAAAACTTGGGAAAGAGTTCCGTCTTCATTCTGTGTTCAGCTCAGTAAGAAGACTAATCTTGAACTCAAGTGGGAATTGCAGCTGTCCTAGTGGATAGGCTTCCCTAGCAAAGAAGGTTCGGAGGCGAGAGTGATGTTTCTCAACTTCAGCAACTTTTAAGATGTGTGGACTCCGCAACTCAGAAAATGCCTCAGCAAGCCATGATAGTTGGGGAAAACTGGGAGTTGAAGTCCACTTATGTTAAAGTTGCCAAGGTTGAGAAGTATTAGGAATAAGGTCACTTCAATATTTATTTCTCATAAGTAAGATCATGACCAGATTGCAAGATCTCATATACAACTGACATTTTGTTTTCTAGGCCCGAGGAGCCCGCGCTGTTCTACAGTTATACCCAGAAAACTCTCAGCAGGTTTGTACTTTGGGGCTGGGGGAATGTAGAAGAAGGTAAATTTATGTAGGAAGTTTTGTGTGTGTTTGTGTGTGTGTGTTTGTGTGTGTGTGTATTGGGTAGATCAGCAAGAGCTGATCTTGGTTGCTTGATCAAATTAAGTAACTCACTGTTTTTCATACCTCTGCAGCAATAATTTAGGAGAATTCACATGGTTTCAATATTGTTCACACTTTTTAATGTATATCCTGCATATAACCTACAAATATCAGCTTCTGTCTTATAAGAGGCATTTGGAGAGACATGAGGAAGCCATGCCCAGATGTTTGTTTGGTTTTTTTTTTACTTTGGTTTTAAAGAGCAGGGAATCTCTAAAGTTCTCTGGGGGGAAAGGAAATGGTACAGGAAATTCGGGGAAGGAGAGGAAAAGAGGAAGGAAAAGATGTGCCTATTATGTTTAGCTTTAAGATGACTTGCATTTAGTTATTAAAGTGGGCATTCCTTCACATGGATTCAATGTAGTTCTAACTGAGCTTGTGATCCCCTAATCTAGAGGCTGGCAAACTACAATCTGTTACGTTTTTTTTTATGCAGCTTGCAAAGTGAGCGGGTGCATGGATAGGCGGGCAGAAAGCAGATTGCCAAGTCCGAGCCAATGAGTTCCCAGGGCAAGATGCAGGGCTAGGAGTCGGGTGTCTTGGGCAGCAGCATCCATCAGCAGCCTCCTTGCTGGCAAGCTGGTGCCTTTCAGTGGCTGCCATATTTCTTAGTTTGCAGATCTGCCAGCCATACCAGTATTAGGGGATCTGACCTTTTACAGAAAAGTTTGCCAATCCCTGCCCTAATGCCCAGTAGAAGTGCAGAAGCAACACCCCCCCTCCCAAAAAAGGCAAATTCCTTAAAAGAATAGAGGAGGATATGGGATGTATGGAACGTTCTATTGGAAGAAGGAGCCTGGCCCGTCCCATCCTCAAGGCAGGTCTGTATTGCTAGGAAGAGAACATCTCCGATTCAGTGAGGTTCTTTCTCTTGGCAGCTGGAGCTCATCACCACCCAAGCCATGAAGGCGGGTTTCACAGGTGGCATGGTAGTAGACTACCCCAATAGTACCAAAGCCAAAAAGTAAGTCTTTTGCTATCGGGGGGAGGTTGGTACTTCAGGTTCTGGGGAGATGTAGTTGCTCCACAATGCACACTGCGTGAGGTTTTTGGATCAAGAGTGATATGAATCTCTGCAATCAGCTCAGTGCACGCGTAGCTTCAAGTTTTGGGGTAATTGATTACTTCATGTGAGAATTAAATGGTTTAATATTTTGTGTATAATTAGGTAAAGACTCCTCTTGAGACGCTTTTCATGAGAAAACCTTTGTCTAACATGGCAGACATGTTCAAATCTTCTCAGCTCTTGTGTGAAATTTAAGGTCATAGAACATTCCAAGACATTTCATGCAGTTCTGCAGGGCTGCTCAATTCATTGAAATAAGTCCATGTTTCTCTTTTCTTGACATGTCATTTAAAAAATAATTTGATGAGGAGGGACCACTGTTCAGTACTGGGTCCTTTTCAGGTAGTTGAAAAGATCCTCTCTTCTGGAGATCTTTGATTGTTTCTAAGAGTCAGTGCTAGAGCAGATGGCAGCATCTTTTAGTAGGGTAACTCCTTTGACCTTTGAGAAGTTATTTAAAACGTTCCCTTCTTTCCATGTGTTGTTTGATATGCTGCTTATCTCTTTCTTTTTACAGATACTTTCTCTGTCTCTTTGCTGGCATAACTGATGTATTACCAAAGGTAATAAAATTGATGGGAAAACTGGACTGCTTTAATCGAGAACACTTCTTTTCCACAATGAAGGACAAAGAAATATTGTTGATAGATGGGATGGCCTTTGATTCTTCTGGCACCTCTCTCATTTCTAAATTCTTGTCTTTTGAAAGGCATGTTTTCAATTCTTGCCAAATTAAAGAGTGTTTTGTTTACTAAAAGATATGGGTTTTTTGCTGGAGAATGACAGGTCCATGTAAGCAATATCTGATCTCTGCTAAGCATGGTTACTGAGCCTCCAGTTAAGATGGTCTGTGGCTTTTAAGTTCACTGCCTGGATCCCTTAAGTCAGGGGTCCTCAACCTTGGCAACTTTAAGACTTGTGGACTTCAACTCCCAGAGTTCCTCAGCCAGCAAAGCTTCCTCAGCCAGCAAAGTCTTAAAGTTGCTAAGGTTGAGGACCCCTGCCTTAAGTGTACTTCCCTGAAAGGGTATGTAAGAATGACCTTGGGACTAGATAACCATCAGACAAAGGGCAGCTGAGTCCTCAGAGAGAATGTGGGCATGTCAAATGCCTCAGAAGGAATCCTCTTTAGTTTCTTAGATTGTAAAGATGAGGTGGGAGAGAAATTCTTTCAGACTTGCAAGATTCTGTTAATGTCACTTTTCAGGTAAAGTTAGAGCTAGTATTTTTGGGGTGTGCTTGTCTGGACTGCATTGTAAGGCTGATGGTTGCCTTTTTCGTGGTTGGTGTTTCTCTTTCAATTAAATTCACATGGATTGTTTTATTTTGTGGTTTTGGCAGGGTCTTGGTACAGAGTGCAGTGAAGAAGAGACCACAGAGGCCAAGTTCACCAAGGAAAGGTACCAAGGCCAGAACTGGAAGCAGGGGGACCTTTGGGTTTAGGGTGGTTCAGACTGAATTATTTTGCTCTTGACCCCCAGACCCCAAACTACAAAATAAGAACAAGAGTGGTTTGCCTTTTAGGATACGGGGAGAAGCAAGAGCCTATAAGCAAGTTGTCTAAAGCAAGTGTTGCTTGCAGTGCAATCTTTTCTAGGGCGTGTGGGCTTGATAGGCAAATCAGCAACGTCTCCTCCTCCCTAAAGGCTGTGTAAGGCTACACTCACCCTCTTCATGGCTTGGAGGAGAGACAAACAGCAATAGCCAGAGGATCATTGTCGTGGTAATCAATAGCCTAATTGCCATGTTTTCCTGCCTCTGACACGCTGGTAATGGAAATGCTCTGATTTGGCAATTATATGAATTAGTGGATGTGTAGCCCAATCTTAGCTAATCTAGTTTTCTCCCAATACTGGCTGGGAGTTAGAAAAATGAAATCCAACATCCTTCCTGAATAAGGTTGGAATAGTTTCTGTCATTTGTTGCACTGGTCTTTTAAACTATGGTAATATACTGTACAATAAGTCCATACGTTGTTACTTCATTTCCACCAAGTTGTTTTTTTTAAAAATTCTAGTCATTTCAGCAAAATCACGTCTTCCTATATGGACTACTCTGAGGCTTTATTCTGATTTTCACTGTCGGAGGCAAGATGGTACTTTAAAAGTGGGACCGTCTCAGTTACTGCCCCAGTTGACAATTGACAAAGACTTTCAGCAATTTGTACTGTTTTCTACCTGTTGGTAGACCTTTTAAAGGACCTTTTAAAGTCCATTGAAGGACCTTTGAAAAAGTGGTAATTTTTGTGTTGCTTGTTTGCTCTATTCTGTTTTTTTGTTTTGCTGTTTTCTGAGGCCACTTGGCACTGAATTAAAGTAAACAGTTGATAATATTTTTGTTTTCCTCAAGGATCCGGTTTAGAAATGCCAAAGGGAAGTCAGTGAAGAAGAGTAGAGACTGGGTGTTGGAGAAGAAAGAACGGCGGCGACGACAGGGCAAGTAAGTCTGAACTCTGCAAGATTCTTTCTGTTCCATAGAAGAGGCCCTTGTTGCCTCAGAGCAAAATATGGCCTCCCTTTTGGGGAACCTTGACAGATCCCTCCAACTAAAATTGCTGAGAATTGTTGGTGTAGTTTCCTATCATATTTAGGCAGGAAACAGATATGAAAGCTGTGTTTGCGTGACATGGCTGACCTTGCAATCTCTTTTGCAGCCAAATGTGCTGGCAACATCTAATAGCAGATGGCTTAGTCAGACTTTCTGTGGCTATTTTCCCCAGTTTGCTGGAAAAAGCAGCTGCTACTGCAAAGGTTAGCATTTCCCTTTCCTCTCCCAGGTATCATTTTTGCCACAATAAACACAATTTATACTCTATACTGCACTTAATTTTCAAGTGCAGTATTGTATTGTTTCTTTTCCTTTGTTGATCATTATTTTAAAACAATAAACAAACAAACAAATAAATAACTCGATCTTTGCCAAAAGGCTGAGAATCTATTGGCGCATGATCAGGATCAAAGCCAAGATTGGTGACTGTCTCCGCTACCCTCATGAAAATCAGACTGGACATTGAGACAAAATGCCAGGGGTCTTGTTTTTACAACACTTCTCTATGACATTGTCTTGATCATGCGACAGAAGAGAGACAATTAAATCCCCAGTAAGTCATTCATATGGTGCACCAACCCACTCCACCAACTTGGTCTTTTCATACATTATTTTTAGCGTTTGCATTTCTTGCATCAGATGAGGAGAGCACATCTTTCTCCTTCTGTCCTGGCCACTTTTTACAGAGGCATGATTGAGAGAGTTTTAACAAACTGCATCACTGGTTTGGTGGTAGCAGTGTCTCAGATAGAAGGTCCATACAGAGAGTGGTAAGGGCAGCTGAGATTATAGGAAGCTTGCTTCCCGTTATTCAGGATACTGCTTATAAGCGCTATGTGCTTTTAGAGCTTGAAGCATTGTTAGAGACCCCACACACCCACTTCATGGTCTGTTTCTGTTGCTCCCCTCTGGGAGGAGGTTTCTAAGTATTTATAGCAGAACTATTAGATTCTGTAACAGCTTTGTTCCTTATGCCATCCGTCTTCGCCATGTATATGTATACATTCAAACTAGGCTGTGTTGTTTCTCTGTGTCATATATGTGTATGTGGATATATACATAATGGTATTTTTTTGAGAGCTGAATGCAACAACATTTCATTTTAATGTATGCTGATTAGTGGCAAAGTTTTTATTCTATTCTGTTCTATTCCTATTACACCAAGTCAAAAGGATAGAGCACACTATTCTACTAAGTTAGATTTAAGCTACTTAAAAGAAAATCTCCCAAAAAAACCTGGTGTCCTCTTATGTGTGACCACAACCCCAACCACTTTCCATGCCCATTTGTGCCTCTTGCCTTTCCAAAAAACATTGATAATTGTCAGTTACCAAAATTATCAACATGATTTCCCCACCACTACCACCTCCCCCTCCCAGCATTTGAAGTTTTGCAGAAATGGGGCGTTGTCTTACCTGAGCACCTTTTCTCAGCATGAAGATTAAGACAACCCACTAGTGGATTCTCCATCCAACCATGCTGGAGAACCTCTTATCTCTGCTTCCTGCATTTTGCCCATTCTTACTTTTTCTTTTATGGTTCATCTGCAGGAGCGTGAGAACAGACACAAAATACACAGGTCGAAAGCGGAAACCTCACTTCTGACTTCCTGCTAATTGGATTGAAGTCATTCTTCGAAGTTTTTTGGAGCTAGGCTGTTTGTTGTGGGGTGGAACAGGAAGCAGATTCATAATCTGAACAGAAGCTGCTGAAGACTTCCAGGCTGGCCACAGTCCCTTCTCTGCTCCAGCCCCTTTAAAAAGAACTTCTCACAGAGAATATGGGACCCAAACAATTCACCGTTTCTTTGCTGCCTGACTCTCAGAGCCTCCTTTGGCTTTTGATGGTTTCAGATTAAGTTGTGTCGGTTTTACTACTCCAACTCTCAATTAAATGAAGTCTGGGAAACGGATTCTGCATCATTGCTAGTTGGTTTAAGCTGCTGCAAGGGGCCCCCCCAATAGCCCCCAATGTATTTTGAGATTTCCATGTTGGCTTTTAAAGCTGGAGGAATGATAAAATTGATATTGTGTCCTAAAGCTATTCTGGACCAGAACCAACACAAGCAAAAATCTGGGTTTAGGAGATCAAGCATTTTACCTTCTGTGCCTTAAAAAAGGGTGCTGGTAGACACCATCTTATTTTGACCTCTATGCTGAGCAGAAGCAAATCAGTTAAGAAACACAGCACTATTTAAGATTTTCTAGCTACTGACATTTAAAAAAGGTATGTATTGTATCAGAAACTAGAAAATATCTTGGTAAGTTAGTTACTTGCTATGGGGTTCTGCTTTCATTTCCAGGAGTACGAAAATCTGAATACTTATCTGCTGTAATAAATGATCCAAAAGGTGTACATCTTTAAAATTAAATTCTGTATAACCAGCTCAGAAGTCATGTAAGTACAGCTTATCCCCCTCTATGTTCCGGTTCACAGAAGACTCAAAAGGATGAAATATTTGATATAAATATTCTTTATTATACATAAAAGTTCATTCATAAAAGAAAGCTGTTTGCCCCCTGAAGTTTGGAGGTGGTGAGGAAAAGATATTTGGGGACAAATTAAGCAACAACAAAAAAGAGAGAGACTGGAATGTAGAAAGGAGGCAATAGAGGATTAGTTCCAGATTCCCCAAGTGGAAAGTGAGACTTGAGGGCCACAAGAGACAAGGGCACTTAATTCACATTGTACAGCAACATTACAACTCCTGGGGAGGCCTATATGACATCGTAGGTGAAATGTCTTCCCCTGCAAGAATGCTGAATACTGCAACAGGTGAGACTACAGTGGCACTTCAGAGGGTTTATTTTTTTTTTTTAAGATTAAAGATGATTGACACATTTTCTCTCAGTATCTGGAGAGATTCCTGAAGCACAGACGTACTAGTAACAGCTCTATTTGTGACATGCAACAAAGGAAGGTGTGAATTGAGAGCAGTAGCTGCCCTAGTGCTGCAGCAGGGCTATTGCCCCCATGCCGATTGTAGAAAAGTTAATTAAGGTCACCCAAACCGGGGAAAACAAAGGAAGCAGCATAACAGTTTCAGAAGGCGGGGAACTGCCATGAGCAAAATTGAAACTTGGTTATAACTATTCAACAGAGGTTATTTTCAATATTTTACTGGCTACTATGGAAGAAAAAACAAGAGGAGCCAGTATCTCGGCAGTCGGTCTTCCAAGTGTGAACTTCACCTAACCATGTTTTCGTTCTGGAATTGCAAGGTTGCACAAAGGTTTTTGAAGCTCATCTTGAATCCTGCAACGAGGATTATGTAAGCTCGCTCTATCCTTAAGCAGACTCTGCTGGAGTTTCTTGTTCCACCAATAAGCCATTTCTGACTTAAGACAAACTGATGAGAAGCAAGCATCCCTTAGGTGAGAGGATAGGAGAGCAGGTTCTTGGTCCAGAAAGTTACTGTATGAAAGATACTGCTGGTGTTGTGAAGCAGCTGGAAGAGCTAAGTTAAGACTAGAGTGCTGGGATGTGGGGTGAAGATTTGGCAATTTCTGTGTAGTCTGGAATAACCACAGGAGGCAGCTTGTGGCATGTAAAAGGGAGAAGATGAGCCACCCCACCGTTTCTGTCATCAGAAGTAGGTCCAGGCAGCTCCTCTAAAAGAAAATGTGGGAACACCCCAGTCTGCATTTCTCTTTCAAGAACCACCTGGTGAAATCCTCAAGTGAAGCAGCCCACAGAAAAAGAAAGGATAAGTGGAATTTGATTAATAATGAGCCTTTTGCTGTTGGTCAATGCAGTGGACAGGTAAAGAGTCAGATATCCAGGTAACGAGAGTGAAATTTTACAATGGCAGAAGCTGGACTAACCCAGTTGGTCTTAAGCACAAAAAAGCTAATTCAAGGCCAAGGAGGTTTCAGTCTCTGGCATAGCTCAAGCACCCAACGTGTATTGCAGGCATGATGTCAGTGGTAACTTCATTGAAGGCAGGTCCTCAGCTGTTCTATTCCAGTGGGCAAAACTGGATTTTCAACACACTACAGGTGTCTTTGTCCCAGTCACAAAATACCCCTTTACCAGAGGGCAAATGATTGAGAATTCTATTTGCTCTCTTAACTAAATTGTTAAAAAGTTTATCACCAGCCTGATTGACTTTCACCTTTTTTGCAGCCACCATTTTATTTTCTACCAGTACAAGGGTCAAAAAGCCAACTTTGAAATATAGCTTTTTTTTTTTTTAAATGGGACAGAAGGTCTGGTAAGGACCAAGGAACGCCATGGACACATTAGTACCACAACCATTTTAATAGGCCCTCCATATAAGGCTGCTTCTCATAATATTTTAAACTTGGATTTGTTGTGTTGCGTGACAGAGGAGCTGCAACTTGTCTGGAACACATTTCTAAAATATGCATTTGTAAATTCCCATTTCATCATCCACCAGCTCTTGGTTAACACATCCAGAAGACCTAATTGGATGTGGTGAAGTTTACCTTTGACTCCTCCAATTTAGCTGGTTGTGTGGAAGTAATTATTAGTGGTTTTGCAGATCACCTTTCTGCTTTTTTAAGCAAACAAACCTTGAATGACATTTTAAAGAAATAACATTACATTTTGCTTTCAGGAAGGCAAGAGAAAAGAAGCCCAGTGCTTCTTCGGAAATGGAAAAAGAGACTGAGGTTTCCACTGAACAGAAATGGTGCTCAGAGCAGAACTGTGGAAGACACAGATTTGGGCCAGGTGGGCCATACCCATCTTTTAATCCTGGCTGGGCAGCTGCAGAATAATAATAAAAAAATCAGAATATCCTAGATCAGGGGTAGTCAACCTTGGCTCTTTTATGACTCGTGGACTTCAATTCCCAGAATTCCTGAGTCAAGGTTGACTACCCCTGTCCTAGATGAACAGGCCTGCAACACTACAAAAGGGTGTTTTTAGCCCATGGCTAAAAAAGAGGAAGACTGGCCTTGCCAAAGAGGCTCCCCTACCTCTTACAAGCAGCAGTGCAGAGCACACAGTTCTGGCGACAGATGATGATGACCAGACCTTTTCCCTGCCAGGGCAGGGATTGGATTAACTGTGCATAGCTGTTGTAGCAAACTCTTATTTTGGGGAGAAGAAAGAGGACCTCACTGGAAGGAAGGGAAAGGGGTTTGAAGAGATCTGACCATCAAGAAGAGGTCAAAAGGTGGTAGAACTGCCAAAACCTTGAGCATGTCATGCACACACTTGCCTTCCCACCATCCCCCCAGCACCATCCCTCCCCCAACACGTACACTGTACTTAACACATAGTGTTAACACAAATAATCATGCATTAGAGACGAGAGTGCTGGTCCGCCAGTATTCTCCAATGGCGGGTACAGGGTTTGGATGGGCCCAGATGGGTGGTGGGCTGGGTGCCTCCGGTGCTCTTATTCATCTCCTTACTCCCATAAGCGATATTCTTGGATGGTTGCAGGCTTTTAGCCAAATATTCCACCAATAGTAGAAGCAATGACAATTCCCAGAATGACGCAGCAGATGATAATCATAATCTTCTTCTGCAAGAGAAGGAAGAAATAGCAATAATGCAGACCTGAGAGGTGTCCCTGAGCCTGCATAGAAAATTACAGCAAAGAGAAGCAGGGCTGTTCCAGGGAACTGCTCTACTCCCTGAAATGATTTGATTCCAGATAGTTCACCTATGGGATGCCTTCTTCGCTGTTCCTTTTCTGCTATGTTTTTGAGGATTTAAGAAGGTAGGTCAGGGATTGTATCTTTTTTATTTCATTTATTTAGCTTAAAGAAATGGAATTTGTGTTTTTTTCTTTCTCGCCCATCTATTTTTCCTTTCATTTTGACTTTAAGTGTGCAGGCAGTGACTTAATTCTTACTTTAGGCTGAAGACTATGATAACAATATTGCAGATATCTTTAAAATATATTGTAAGAATCCTATTGGCTTTAAGATGATTTAGGTGGAAGGGGCCTGATGTGAAAGGCAGTTTGGAAGCTATTACTGATCCAAAATGCAGCTCCCAGCCAGATGGATGATCAATGATGACACAGCAGAATAACAGCAATCTTACAGGAGCTGGACTGTGGCAGTTGACCTCTGGGTCCAGTTCAAGGTAATGGCTATCATCTTTGTAGAGCACTTAGCAATAACACTTAGACTTATATACCACTCCCTAGTGCTTTACAGCCCTCTCTGAGCAGTTTACAGTGTCTGCATATTGCCCCCAACAATCTGGGTCCTCATTTTATCGACCTCGGAAGGATGGAAGATGGAGTCAACCTTAAGTCAGTTAGGATCAAACTGCTGTCTGTGGGCAGAGTTAGCCTGCAATACTGAATTCAAACCACTGTGCCACTGAGCTCCTTTCTCATGGTTTATCTTTATGGTTCAGTTCCTTGTTACCTTTAGGCTTGTCTGAGACAGGTAGAATCTGCCCCTCCACCTCAGGCATTTCACAGGCAGGCTAGAGTCATTCCTGCAAGAGGTCCAGGGGAAAAAGTTGGAGCAGGACTCCTTAGTGGCAGTCCCCAAGGTGAGGGTGGCCTCACAGCCATGATTATGGTATTCCAGTGGATCTTTGGGCCTAGTACAGAGTGGAAGTATCTTATGCTTTAAGGTCTAAGGATGGGGTTTTATTTGATTGATTTTAATTGTTCTGACTGTTCTGATTTTGATCTTATTGTGACCTGCCCAGAGTCCTCAGAGGAGGAGGCAGCATGTATACTATTACAAAATAAACAAATAAACTGCCTGTGTTGAAAATGTGTATTTTCAAGGGTTGATGCAGAGTTGCAGTGTTTGAAAAGGAACACCAGGGGGACAACTTCCAACAGCAATCAAGAGAGGGGGAGGGAGGGAGGGAGAGAGAGAGAGAGAGAGAGGGAGGGAGAGAGAGAGAGAGAGAGAGAGATATCGCAATCTACGGTATGTATCTTTGTATTTCAAGGCAAACTAGGGTTGATGAAGACAATGCTTGTCTTCTGAGCAAGTCTTAATGTTTTCTACTACCATACTTTCCTACATCTGCCATTGCATCTCTGGGATACCATAGGATGGCTTAACATACACACGCGCACACACACACTCTCCTTCTGTACACATCACAGACCAGTGCTTACCCGCCGTGCTTTGCTCTGGTACTTTACAGCTTTTTTGGTATCAGACACAGCCCTCTCCACATAGTCCACGGAGTGTTCCACATTATATTCAATGCGGTCGATCATCTCGCCCTGCACAACGGGGGATGCACATAGATTTCAAAAAACGTGGCTTGAGGGATGCTGAGGTTCTCCCTATTACCTCTTTTCTCACATCCACGTGGAGTGGGAATGGCGCTTTCAGCCTCCTTTGCCCTGCATTTGCTGCTAGACCTGTCATCAGAAAGAACAAAAGAGAGCAGAATGACTAGATTGAAACTGTGTGATTTAGGGCTGGATGTGGGGCAAGGAGGGTCCTGAGTCCTCACTGGGATACTTTATGTCACATGCCCCCTTATACAGATAGTTCTCGACTTACAATAGTTCATTTAGTGCCCATTCAAACTTACAACGGCACTGAAAAAAGTGACTTATGACCATTTTTCACAGTTACGACCTTTGCAGCATCCCCATGATTATGTGATCAAAATTCAGATGTTTGTCAACTGGTTCGTACTTATGACCGTTGCAGCATCCCAGGGTCATGTGATCCCCTTTCGCAACCTTCTGAAAGCAAAGTCAATGGGGGAGTCAGACTTACTTAACAGCTAGGTTACTAACTTATCAACTGCAGTGATTCACTTAACAACTTGGGCAAGAAGTGTTGTAAAATGGGGCAAAACACACTTATCAGATGTCTCACTTAACAACGGACATTTTGGGCTCAATGGTGGTCGTAAGTCGAGGACTACCTGTACATATTCCTCAACAGCTTTTATTCTCAAAGGTTATGGCAAAATGAGATGGCCTCAGAGCTATTCATCAACTCAGCTGAAAAACATGCTCCATCAAGCTATTCTACTTGTACCCAGCCTGCCACTGCATCAGAGGTTATCCTTAAGCTGGTGCTTTTCTTCTTCTGCCTTCATCCTTGTTAGCTTTTCTGTTATGTATTTCAGGACTTCAAATGAGTAGGTTAATAATGATCTCATTTTAAAATTTTATTTATTTTATTTCTAATCCACCTTTTGTAGAGGACCTCAAAGTGCCATACCAAGTACTCCCTCCTTCTATTTTTTCCTCTATCAGAAAGTTTGGGCTAAGAAAGAGTACCAAATCCATAATCCTCTAGATATCTTCGGTACTGTACTTGAGGAGAGACTCAAATTCAGATCTCTCTGTTCCTATTCCAACATTTTCATCGCCATACCACATTGGTTGGTATACACAAAGCTTTCTTAGAAATGTTTGAGGAAGCAGAGGAAAAATCTTTAGCAGTAAATAATAAAAGAACTGCTTTAATATTCACTATTGCTTGGTCCACTTCAGGCTTTATTGTTCTAAATTTCTTTTATTCTTTTATGGTATGTAGTTTTCACTTTGAAGAGGCCTCAATGGCAGAAGTACAAACTTGAATTTGAGACTCTCAAAACTATTTATTCAGGATTTATAGTCTCAATGTGAATCCCAAATGCTTTTCCCAAGGCTAGGAAGCTGAAGTCTCCCTTTTCCTGTGTTTTCAACTGTACATGATTATAGGGTGGAGGTGCCTAGACAAAGATTCTAGAGTCTTACTCTATTGTCTAATAAAACACACACACACATACACACACAGACAGAAAGCAAGGAAAACACTACTCCATAAAAGGCACTCAGCATCACAAAGGCACAGCTGCTGTAGCAGCATACCAAGAAAAGAACCACAAGTGCATGCAGAGAAAGTCTCCCCACATTTATTACAAAGCAGCACTCATTAAAACATACAAGACACGCTTGTAAAAGTAATGTTTATAGGTAGTTCTCAACTTATGATCAGTCATTTAATGACTGTTCAAAGTTTAAGATGGTCTCCTCGGAAAGTGTGTTTTATGGCCATAAAGCAGTTCTGGTCATTGTAAAATGTTCCCCCACCCCATGGTTGTGTGATTGCAATCTGGGTGCCTTGTGACTGGCTGCCAAGTGGCCCACAACCATGTGATTGCCATTTGCAATCTTCTCTGCCAGCTACCCCAGAAAGTCAAAAGGGAAGCTGGTAAGGGAAGGTTGTGAGCTACTGCTTACCTATCAAGATGACTTTCTCTCATTTCTGGGAGCTGGCTGAATGAGCTGCCTGCCAAGGGGAGCTGAACTCCTTTGGCAGGATGCAGAAATGAAACTCAGATTCTGATGATTTGAGCTCCATTTCTATACCCTGTGGAAGGAGTCCCTTTCTGCACGTGGAGGAGACATGAGATCCTTCCACAGGGAGCAGAAGCAAAGCTCAGATCCTGATTATTTGAACTCCATTTCTGCATCCTGCCGAAGGTGATCCTTTCCACACATGGAGCAGAGATGCCATTCTTCAGCAGGCAGCTTTTTCAGCCAGATCATAGAAAGGGGAGGGAGCTGATATCCAAACATAGATGCAGTGTAATAAAGTAAGAGCCTAGAGCACCTCAGGAAGGTGGGGTAAATGTGCCTCCCCCTAAAGCTGAAAATCCTGCTTTGATTTTGGCAAGGATAATTTTCAGCTTCTGAGCAGAGCCCCCCTGGGTTTCCCCTGCCAGGCATCCTGTACTCCTTACCAGGGACTCCATCTGCTTAATGACGCACACAATCACTTAATAATCACAACTGGGAGTGTTGAGATTGCGGTCATTGAGTAAATCAGTCGCAGGAGTAGTCATGTGATGTCTTGCTTAATGACCACTTGGCTCAATGACTGAGATTCCATGCTCAACATGCTAAGTTGAGGGACTATATCTAGAACTTTTATGTTGTTCAGAAAAGTACGGGGGGGTGGGGCCCTCTCTGCTTTCCAGGATTTTGGCCTAGCTGACTTAAAATCCTTTTCAATCTGCCTTGATAACCTTTGAGGTTAAATAAGATACTAGAATTGCAACTTCCCCCACATCCACTCCTGATATGTGGACCAATTCTCAAAATTTTCAGCAATGGCCATGTGGGTGACTGTTCTGGGAAATGAGGATTATGCTGCTTGGTGAAGCCTTAATCGCGTTAACTAGCCTAGCAACTTCTTCTTAACTCTCAAGAGAAATCCAAGAAATGACTGAGTACCAGAGGGAGAACATTATACAACGAAAGATTGGGTCATTGAACCTGGTGTTGTCTTCAGCTAGTAACAATTACCTTGGATCCAGCCCACCTCTCTTAGATTCCTGGGATCAAGTCTTGAATTTTTTTACATGAAGCACATATGCTGTAACACCAACCTATTCTTCCCTCCTCCAGCATCTTTTCTAGACAAGCTAGCAACTTGGCCATCACCCTTCCACTTCCCAACAAGACTGCAGGAGCATGCAGAATCATGAAGCAGCCATGCAGCATAGACATGCAATTGTCCCAATTCTGGGAAAATGGGCATTACCTGCCAATACCTGAACTGTCTTATCCGGATATGCACGGTAGCATGGGAGATAGAAAGAGGGGGTCAGGAGCGGTACAAAGAAAGGCAGGGCCAGACCATCAGGAATCAAATGTATTCACCTTTTAAGAGGGCGAGTCTTTCCAAAGGAGGAACTCTCCACTTTCCTCTCTGCCTGTCTCTGTAAATGTAGCCCACCAACCCCATGCTTGAAGTTCCCTTCAGCTCTCCCTGCTTCACTCTCTATGGGTTGCACAGGGAGGGGGGGCATATGGAAATCAACCATGTCACATCATTTCTGTCAGTGAAGTTTCCCAGGAGGTCATGTTTAAAAGAAAACAGACAGACATTTGCAATGCAATCCAACCTTTTAGAAAGCATTTCCTGTGACAGCACCCCAATTAAGGCCCTCTTTCCTCAGTAAAGTATAGCTCTTCCCCATATTGCTGTCCTTCTAACATCAGATAAAAGCACATCAATCCACCCAGGCATTTGCAGAATAACAACTCTGCCAGGAACAAACTATCTTGCCTTTTTTTTTTTAAATAAACTTTTATTGAGCCTTGTTTTAATTTACTTTAAAAAGAATTGCTTTTATTACCTAAAATTGGCTTAGGTTCTTCTCTAAACCTCCAAAAGGAAAATGGTTCAGAAAATGAAATAATAATACCGTAATAACACAACAACAGTTTCTCACAGGTAGTGAAAAAGTAAAGTGGTCAAAGGCATCACAATCATAAGAGCTACATTTATCATAAATGACACTGCCCTTTCTTTTTGCAAGGTAATTACCACTTTTGCTTTATTTAATTAAAAAAGATAATAAAATAAATTTAATTAGAACTTAAAGAAAATCAACAGCAGCTAAGAAATGGAAGGAGGCCAAGTGAAAAATCTATGGATTCTATAGGCCAGGGATAGGCAACCTTGACTCTTTTATGACTCGTGGACTTCAACTCCCAGAATTCCTGAGCCAGCCATGCTGAGGGGAATAGGCATAGCCTACCCCTGCTATAGGCAGTCCCTAGCTGAGGGAAGTTAAAGAGCTTTTCTTCCTCTATTATTTCCACAGAAATATGGACACAAATTTAGCTTCCTCCAGAAAGTTATTATTGACAATAATTTACAAAGCATGATCACACTGTGTAGTGCTTTGCACAATAGCAGAAGAAAAAATGCAGGATCAAATGCCTACATCTTGCTTTTTCCTTGTTCCCAGGTCAGGATTCTCTTTTGTCCTTCTTGCGGAGAGCCTTTGCGTTCAAACTACAGCAAATTTTGAACAAATCAGATGTGGTGGGCTTGATCTCACTGCCCCATCATAATTTCAACAATATGCTTAACCAAGTCCTATAAGAGCCAAATATTTGCATTTTGCATAACACTGAAAAGACATTTAGCTCTAACTTCGATTTGGTGGGGTGGGGGAAGGGGACATTCAATGATGTTAGTCTATATTTTAATACACCACGTGAAAACAAAAGGAGTTAACACAGTAAACAGGGCGAGTCATGAAATGAAACCTTAAGATGTTTGAAGCAGGGTTGTATAGGGAAATTTGAATCAACAAAAATAATTTTTTTGTGTGATCCAAACCACAGAGCTAACAAAAGACCTTTATCCCAGCCCTCTATTTAATGTAGGAACTACAGTGCAAATATATCATTGCAGTATCTCTAGCAGAGGGTAGTGTAGAGACCGGAGACTAATTAGCAGACGATTAGATGTTGCTACCTGGTATGCCAATAAGTAAATAAGTCCATTCTTCTGCAGCAGCTCTCACCTGGCTTTCCACCAACATGGCCATGTCCATGAACATATCATGGAGCTCACGGATGCTGTTTTCTAGCTTGATGATCTCACTGTGCCGGGTCTCAATCTCATTCAATGCCTGCTTTGTAATGTTGGAGTCCATGATGATCTAGCAAAAAAAAAAAAAAAAGCAGCATTGGAACACTAATGGCATATGGTCCAGGAAGACTTTCCATTCTGGGTAGATATTTCTGGAGATCACATTTTCCTGATTTTTCTGTGGCTGGCTAGAACAAGTTTATAAATTGGTAAAAAAATATGGCTTTCTTTGGGGAAAAAACGCAGAGCTTCTAGCACGTATGGATTTTTCTGTTGGTGGGCAATGACAGCAGACATCTGAAGAATCAAAGGGATACTGAGTATCATTACTGTTCTTAGCCTCCCATGAAGAAAAATCCCAAAAGAGAAAAAAAAATGAAACTGCAGAATTAACTATACCATTAACAAAAATAACTTGTGCATGTATTACCATTGATGAATTTGCTACTTAGAATAACCAAACAAGCTAAATAACACATAACAATAAGTAATATTATGAATGTTTTTCATACTTTCATACTTAATGATTCTTCATATTTATATAACCACCTATCTCGCAATCAAATATTGCTAAGCATAGGCAGTGGAAGAATAATACCCCAGAAGTCTTTGACCANCAATTAAGGACCTCTTTCCTCAGTAAAGTATAGCTCTTCCCCATATTGCTGTCCTTTTAACATCAGATAAAAGCACATCAATCCACCCAGGCATTTCCTCTGCCAGGAACAAACTACCTTGCCTTTTTTTTTAAATAAACCTTTATTGAGCCTTGTTTTAATTTACTTTAAAAAGAATTGCTTTTATTACCTAAAATTGGCTTAGGTTCTTCTCTAAACCTCCAAAAGGAAAATGGTTCAGAAAATGAAATAATAATACCGTAATAACACAACAACAGTTTCTCACAGGTAGTGAAACAACAGTTTGTCACAGGTAGTGAAAAAGTAAAGTGGTCAAAGGCATCACAATAATAAGAGCTACATTTATCATAAATGACACTGCCCTTTCTTTTTGCAAGGTAATTACCACTTTTGCTTTATTTAATTAAAAAAGATAATAAAATAAATTTAATTAGAACTTAAAGAAAATCAACAGCAGCTAAGAAATGGAAGGAGGCCAAGTGAAAAATCTATGGATTCTATAGGCCAGGGATAGGCAACCTTGGCTCTTTTATGACTCGTGGACTTCAACTCCCAGAATTCCTGAGCCAGCCATGCTGAGGGGAATAGGCATAGCCTACCCCTGCTATAGGAAGTCCCTAGCTGAGGGAAGTTAAAGAGCTTTCCTTCCTCTATTATTTCCACAGAAATATGGACACAAATTTAGCTTCTTCCAGAAAGTTATTATTGACAATAATTTACAAAGCATGATCACACTGTGTAGTGCTTTGCACAATAGCAGAAGAAAAATTGCAAGATCAAATGCCTACATCTTGCTTTTTCCTTGTTCCCAGGTAAGGATTCTCTTTTGCCCTTCTTGCGGAGAGCCTTTACGTTCAAACTACAGCAAATTTTGAACAAATCAGATGTGGTGGGCTTGATCTCACTGCCCCATCATAATTTCAACAATATGCTTAACCAAGTCCTATAAGAGCCAAATATTTGCATTTTGCATAACACTGAAAAGACATTTAGCTCTAACTTCGATTTGGTGGGGGGGGGAAGGGGACATTCAATGATGTTAGTCTATATTTTAATACACCATGTGAAAACAAAAGGAGTTAACACAGTAAACAGGGCGAGTCATGAAATGAAACCTTAAGATCTTTGAAGCAGGGTTGTATAGGGAAATTTGAATCAACAAAAATAATTTTTTTGTGTGATCCAAACCACAGAGCTAACAAAAGACCTTTATTCCAGCCCTCTATTTAATGTAGGAACTACAGTGCAAATATATCATTGCAGTATCTCTAGCAGAGGGTAGTGTAGAGACCGGAGACTAATTAACAGACGATTAGATGTTGCTACCTGGTATGCCAATAAGTAAATAAGTCCATTCTTCTGCAGCAGCTCTCACCTGGCTTTCCACCAACATGGCCATGTCCATGAACATATCATGGAGCTCACGGATGCTGTTTTCTAGCTTGATGATCTCACTGTGCCGGGTCTCAATCTCATTCAATGCCTGCTTTGTAATGTTGGAGTCCATGATGATCTAGCAAAAAAAAAAAAAAGCAGCATTGGAACACTAATGGCATATGGTCCAGGAAGACTTTCCATTCTGGGTAGATATTTCTGGAGATCACATTTTCCTGATTTTCTGTGGCTGGCTAGAACAAGTTTATAAATTGGTAAAAAATTATGGCTTTCTTCGGGGAAAAAACGCAGAGCTTCTAGCACGTATGGATTTTTCTGTTGGTGGGCAATGACAGCAGACATCTGAAGAATCAAAGGGATACTGAGTATCATTACTGTTCTTAGCCTCCCATGAAGAAAAATCCCAAAAGAGAAAAAAAAAATGAAACTGCAGAATTAACTATACCATTAACAAAAATAACGTGCATGTATTACCATTGATGAATTTGCTACTTAGAATAACCAAACAAGCTAAATAACACATAACAATAAGTAATATTATGAATGTTTTTCATACTTTCATACTTAATGATTCTTCATATTTATATAACCACCTATCTCGCAATCAAATATTGCTAAGCATAGGCAGTGGAAGAATAATACCCCAGAAGTCTTTGACCA